AAAAAAAAAAAAGAACAAGTTTGTGCATGTATACACTTGTACTAAGAAAATACCTTCATTTTATTTCCTTTCTTTTTCCTTTATCATGTGACATAAGATTTACTGACTTCATGTCAGCATTTAAGTGTTGTTCACTTTATGTAATAGCATTTGGGCTGGGGATTGGTGCGTTTCTGGTTGTACAAAGGAAACCTGTATTATGTTAGGCATAATTGTGACCTTATCACTGTCTTTATATGAAGATTATGGATGATTTTAGGAGATGTGTATGGGGTCAAGTTGACAATGGGTGGACTTGTTAATATTGAGTGTCAACTTCATTGGATTGAAGGATGCAAAATATTGTCCCTGGGTATGTCTGTGAGGGTGTTGCCAAAGGAGATTAACATTTGAGTCAGCGGGCTGGGAAAGGCAGACCCACCCTCAATCTGGGTGGACACAATTTAATCAGCTGCCAGTGTGGCCACAATAAAAGCAGACAGAAGGATTGAAAAGACAAGACTGGTTTAGTCTTCTCGACTACATCTTCCTCCCATGCTGGATGCTTCCTGCCCTCGAACATCAGACTCCAGTTCTTCACCTTTGGGATTCTGACCGGCTTCCTTGCTCCTAGCTTGCAGACGGCCTATCATGGGACCTCATCTTGGGATCATGTGAGCCAATACTCCATAATAAACTCCCCTTTATGTATACATCTATCCCTAATGCAAGGAATTTTTAAATACGAATTTATTTTGCTCTCCTTTTCCAAGTTTCTTGAAGTGGAAGTTCAGATTATGCATTTAAGACTTTTCATTTTTTCTAATGTCAGCATGTAGTGCTATAATTTTCCCTCTCATAACTGCTTTAGCTGGGTTCCACAAATTTGATATATCTTATTTCATTTTCTCTCAGTTCATTATATTTAAAAAATTTCTCGAGATCTCCTGTTTAAACCAGTATTTAGAAATGTGTTGGTTAGTTTTCAGGTGTTCACAGACATTCACATTATCTTTCTGTTATTGATTTCTATCTTGAATCCCCTATAGTCAGTGAACACACTCTGTATAACTTCCATTCTTTTAATGTGTTAAAGTTTGTCTTACAGTCCAGGATGTGGTCTATCTTGTTGTATATGTTCTCTGGGCACCTGAAAACAATACGTCTTCTACTGAGGTTGGTGGGAGTGTTCTATAAATGTCAATTACATTCTGTTTGTTGATGATATTGTTAAGTTCTCTATCCTTAGTGGTTTTTCTGTCCGGTTTTCCCATCACTTGTTGAGAGAAGGATATTTAATTCCTCCACTATCATTGAGGAAGTGTCTGTTTTTTCGTTCAATTCTATCACTTTTTGCTTTAAATATTTTGCAGCTCTATCGTTTTGTGCATACATTTTAATTTTTAGGTTTGCTACGTCTTCTTGGTGGATTGACCATCTTATCATTGCATAAGGTTCTCTCTGTCTCTGGTAATTTTCTTTGCTCTGAAGTCTACTTATCTGATATTTATGTAGTCATTCACTTTCTTTGGATTAATGTTTACACAATATTTTTCCATCTTATTTTCTACCTGCCAATATTATTTTTTTTAATTGAGTTTCTTGTAGATAATACATAGTTGAGTCATGCTTGTTCTAATGCTCTCTGATGATCTCTTTGTATTGGTGCGTTTACACTATTTATGCTTAATGTAATTGTTGATAGGCTAGGGTGTGATACAGGTGGCAGACTGAGTTCCCACATTATCTTTACAGAAGCTGCTGGGGGCAGAGGGCAACTAATTGACACCCAGCAGGGATTAAAGTCCCAAGTCCCTACTCATTCTTCTCTAGCAATACTCTGACAGAAGATGGAGGGAATCACGGCAATATGAGAGTGGAAATCTATATTCTCCTCTTGGGCTTTGATGGTTTTTTTCTTGGTGTCTTTGACTGGAGTAGAGTGATTGTTTTCTGAGAGTTTCCGTCTTTTTAGGCTGGACATTTGCTGACCCTTTGGTTAGAAAAGGTAGGCTTTAGTTGAGGCTTTTAAAAAATTTCTGGGCCTGTTGACATTTCTGGGATGCCAGCTCCTTCTGCAAAACATCCTAGTCTAGGATATATGTGACAAAAAGAAAACTCAAGTAACTTATAGAATGTCTTTCCTTGGGTCCCAAGGTCCCTAGCCAATCTGTCTGGTTATCTCAATCTCTTCTGTTTGTATATAAAATGTTCAGGATTATTAGGTATAATTAGGGGAAAGAATAGGGAGAAGCATGTCTATTTTATCTTTACAGAAATAGAAATCACTGATCATTTCTGGTTTCTTAATTCATTCTGACAATCTCTATCTTTTAATGGGTCTGCTTACGTGATGTATATGTAGTGTAATTACTGATGTATCAGGATTTGCTTGTTCCATCTATTTACCACTCTACTGTTTGCCCTTTTGCCTTTTGGGTTGCCTAAACAATTTTTCATATAATAATTTATCTATTTTGCCTTTGTACAATATCTGTTTCTAAGTTTTCTTATTGGTTGCTCAAGATATCACATAGCTCATTTTTCAGTCTACTTAAAACCAATACTTGACCACTTCAATTGAAATGTAGGAAACTGACCCTCAGATTGGTCTCTTTACCCTCCCTTTACTTTGTAGTTATCTTACATATTACATTTACATACTTTCAAAACCCCAAACAATGCTGTATCTTTGTTTTCAACCAACAAATATATTTTAAAGAATTCAAGCAAATAACAGCCTATTACAGGATTCAGCAAACTTTTTCTGCTGAGGGCCAGATAATAAATATTTTAGGCTTTGCAGACTATACAGGGTCTGTCACAATTATTCAACTCTATGCTTATAGAGTGAAAACAACTAAAGACAATACATAACCAAATGACTGCAACTGTGTTTTGATAAAATTATATTAATCAAAATAGATGGTGAGCTAAATTTGGCATGTGGACTATGGTTTGCTGACCCCTAGTCTATTATATTTACCCAGATATTTTTAGTTTCTTCTTCCTTCCTTTCTGATGTTGTATGTCTCCATCTCATTTCACTTGTGTCTTAAGAACTTCATTTAATGTTTTT